TGACAGCAATGCTTTGTGCAAGAAAATGAAGTGGTTTGCCCAGGGCTCGCTCATTCCAGCGCTGAGCACTGAAGGAGGAGTGCTCATTTGTACATGAAAAAGAAACACGTCATGCTTTTTCATCTCCCCAGAAATCCACTCCGCCCCCATCCTGCCTGTTTCTATTGCTCCTGTAGTCCTTCTGACCTGTGAGGACAGAGTCCCCCAGCCATCTCTTTTCCAGACCAAATCCTCCTCATTCCTGATTCCTCATTTATTCATTCAACAAGTGATTTCTGAGCACCTGCTATGAGCCAGCCCTGTGCTGAGCTCTGGGGCCAAAAGGACAAAGAAGCCCCAGTCGTCCATCTCATGGAGTCCTCTGTGGGGAAGACCTGGATGAGATGCGCCATGTCCATTCTGGAGGCTGGTATCCCAGTGTTCAAGGGGCAGACTGCAGGCCAAAGGGGCAGGGTTGGAGTGACTCTGCAGCTCCCCAGGCCACTGTAAGCCTCTGCTTCCTTATCTGTGAAATGGGCCAACAACTGAGCCTTTCTCACGCGGACCAGGACCATGTGTCTACTCAGGCCTGCTCTTGGCCATCCAAGGGGCCTGCTGTTGGGGTGGGAGCCCACTGAGGAAAGAGACAGTCCCTCCCCGAACCCCCATGGCACTAAGGACCGTGCCTGGGGGGCATCTGGAAGGCACCATGGAGGAAGCCTCTGGGTTGTGTTGTTGGGGTTCCCCAGGATTCTACTGAGGACACAGGCATCAAAGAAGGCCCAAAGCAAAACCATAGAGATTTACAGAAATTCTCTGTGAGCAGGAGATGAGTAAAGAGCTCGTAGCCTCACGAAGAATGCAAACTGGGGAAGAAATGAAGTGTCGCGACATGTCTTCTGGGAAAAGAAGGTGGTCAGGATGGGCAGTGGGAGCCTCACCTGTTAGTAGGGGGTCAGAGGGCAACATCAGGGACAGTAGGGGAGGGAGTGAGTAAAGAGGTCGGGGCCTGAGGGGCCCCCTTAGGTGCCAGGTGCCTATGCACACGTCCCAACCCCAGAACCTCCAGCAGCCCTGTGGGCAGAGAACTCTCACCTCCACCATTTACAGCCGAGGAGTCTGAGGCCCAGAGGCACGGGGTGCCTGCGACACCCCGGCAGAGGCACCCAGACTGGCACCCTGGACTGTCTGAGTCACCCTCAAAGGAACTCTGTGCGAGAATGTTTTGTTTTCTGATCACACAAATAATACCTGTGCTGTTTATAAAGTTTTACAACAAGAATAAATGCAAAATAAATAACACACGTCTGTTGTAATAACTGAAAAATCAGAAGACCATGAAGGGGGGGGGGGCTCCCCGTGCTACCCGAGAGCCCACACTCGGTCTGTTTGCGAGTTATGCCCTGAGGCATCTCTTTGCCAAGGTCATTTCCAAGGCAGGACTTTCACATTTGGGGTTTGCTCCCTGGTGCCGCATCTGCCTGGGGAAGCCTGGCACTGTGGTCTGGGGGTGGGACATGGGGCGAGAGGCAGTTTACCTTTAACTTCACCGTCATTGACTGAGACAGGACCAGGTCCTCCCGAACCTCATACAGGTGGTGGAGCCACAGCAGGACACAGCAGAGGTCGGCCTTGGCCACTCCTGGATGGCCTTGGGGACAGAAGGAAGGTGGCAGCAGTGAAGACCCCCGTTAGCCTCAACGCCTCTAGTCTGTGCCGGGTACTTCACACACTCCATTTCATATCCTCTACTTCCTGGGAGGCAGCTGGCAGGTACCCCACTTGACGGACAAGGAAACTAAGACTAAGAGAGGAGCAGTCACTTGTCCAAAGCCACACAGCTGGTGTGCAATGGAGGGAAGATTCTAACCCAGGTCCAGCTGACTCGCACCAAACACACAGGGACAGAAACCAACATCTGGAAAGTCTCGGTCCTCATTCAGTGTTGTGGTCATCATTGGGCCCGTCCCTAAATCTTCCAGTTCTCTGGAATGCTCTCTCCTTCTCTGGCCCTGTGAAGTGTGGTGCGGCCACAATCTTGAGGCCAATGCAGAGTGAGCAGAAGTGATGCGTCACGTCCAGCAGGAGCGTTCTCCTGCTTGGTGACGGAGGAAGCCTGTGCTGCTCTACGGCTCCATCTGCCGGGTCCCTGGTGACCACAGTGAGAAGGGCCTTCCTGTTGATCCCCCTGGACCCCCGGCCTGGGGGAGAAGTGAACCTGTGCAGTGTCAGGACAGTGGGGGTTTGGGCTCTCTGCTACTGCAGCATAAGAGGTTTGTGAAATCTCTTCCACGTGTTCCTTGTGTGGCGGTTAAAGATCTCGGCTCTAGAGTCGGGCAAGGCCTCCCGCCTCCTGATGATGATGATGAGAGAGCCTTCTTCATAAGGTGGTTGTAGCATCTGGGGAAGTGGGGGGACCCTCACACCATCTCCTGATGCTCCCCTCGCTCTGCCCCTCACCCACTCCTCTCCAGGGAGGAGGGACTTTCTCATCAGCAGGTCTGGCTGCACGCTTGGCCCAGCCCCTTTCTCCTCCTACCTGGGACAAGCTGCCCGCAGGAGCCGCATTCTCAGTCATGCTTGGCCACACACGCGTGGTAAGGGAAGGCTCTGCCACTGCAGGGGAGGCCTCCCGCCCAGCTTCTTCTGTGACAGGCGGTGGGGGGTTTGTGATGCTGGGGTTCAGGGTTAGGAAGCCACTTGGCTGCAGAAATGAGCCACGGTCTCCAAGATCCACTTTATTAGGTACAAGGGTGTTATTTGGCCTGTTGCCTCTTCCTTTTCCTCCTTATTCTGCAGATTCTACTTTGGGGGGGGGGGTGGTGCCAGGCCCTGGGTGAAGCTCTGAGGACATGAGGGTGGCTGAGGTGCAATCAGCCCTGCCTTTGAGCTGCTCACAGTGCAAAGAGGCAGATGGTGCAGCTGGAGTTTTGGCAACAGGATGAGTCTGTTCCTGGCAGGTGTCACCTCCACCAGGAAGCCCACCCTGATGCCTTGCTGGGGGTTTCCTTCTGATCACTGTCATCACTGTCTGGTGACTTGCTTGCTTCCCCCTCTTGACTGAGAGCTCAGTGAGCCTAGGGACTGTGCCTACCATGGTCACTGCTCATTCCCCAGTGCCTGGACAAAAGACATTTGTTCAATGAATGAATAGATGCCTGCCTGGCCCAGAGGACATGTGGGAACTCAGGTGTTCGAGGGGTCCAGGAGGAGTCCCTGGAGGCAGCAGGACTGGAGTGTAGCCTGAGGGTCAGGCAGGATGTGGATAACGGATTGGGGTTGGGGGTTAGAAGGGATCCATCAGAGAATGGGTTTGGCAGGTACTGGGCTGGGGTCCAGGCCCACTTTGTCACTGGCCTGCTGAGTGGCCCCGGTCACTCACTATCTTCCTGGGGGCTTTAGTCTCCCTGTTTGGCAGATAAGGACCAGGAGACCTCGCAGAGCCATGACAACTCTGAGGAGAACCCCTTCTGTCTGGTGATGGACTGGGGGGCCTGACTGGCATGGAGAGGGACGAGTGTGTCTGGACCCCTTGGCCACCTGCCTCACCTTTCTGGAGATTCTGCAGGTGCTCTGTGAGCTTTGAGCTGCAGTTCCAGCTAGGGATGCTCAGGGTCTGCAGGTGAAGACTCGGATAGGGAGGGGAGGGCAGAAGCGTGACAGCCTCTTCCTGCCAGAAGCCTGGGCAATTCCAGGCCGTCTCTGCAAGGCAGATGGATGGAGCGACGAGAGGGTTAGGTCCGAAATTCCTCCTGCTGGCATCCGGAGCTCTCCGCACTATGTTTCCCATTCAAGCCAATCTCCCCGCTCTTCCCCAACGTAGTCAGCCTGAAGCATCTTCTGGTCCAAATGGCCCAGGCATCCCCTTCCTGCCTTTGCTCTCACAGGTCCTTCCACATGAATGCCCCTCCTCCCTCATGTCCAGCTGCTCAGATGAGCCTAAGAGCTAGAAGGATCCTGAATCTCTAGTCCAGTCATTCTAAACTACAGATGAGGAAACTGAGGCCCAGAGAAGTAGAGTCATCTGCCCAAGGTGACCCAGCTTCTGAGGCCTGGCTCCAAAGCTTTGAGTGCTTCGCATTGTGAGTGACCAGAGAATTCTCTGGCACCTGGAGGGTCAAGTCCAATCTCCTAGCCTGGCATTCGAGGCCCCTGCGTTGTGGACCTGGATTCTCCTTCTGTTCCATGCTCCACCCCATGTGCCATAGCTCTGGCCACATCTGATGACTCCTGGATCCCTGGAAACATCACACACTTTCCAGCCCCTTGTCTCTTCCCAGGCTGTTCCCCACGCCCAGGACGCCTTTTCTGGTCTCCTCCACTTATTCATTGCTTAGGGAGGCTGCCCTTGTAAGCTCATGGGAATGAACTGTCCCACCTGGCAATGAAGTCAGACCCCTGGTTCTAGCTCTTTTCAAGACTGTCTCTCCCACCCCACCCCAGTCCCTGTGGGCAAGGGCCCTGTGTGCTGCACCCCTGGTCCCCAGAGGCCTTCCAGAGTCTGAAGGTTGGATGGGATTGCACAGGGACACAGAGCCAGGGAAGAGCAGGTCAGGCGAGCAGTGAGGCCAGAGTGAGAGGTGCACGGTGACAGAGGGCAGACTGAGTGTGGGGTCTGGGGGAAGGGGTAGCAGGTCTGGGGCACAGTAAAACCTTGTGCACGTGTAGGGAGAGCAACCTGTCCTGGTTTTCCCAGGACTTTCTGGGTTTGAAAGCCCCTCAGTCCCAGGCAAACTGGTGTGACTGTTACTCTATACCTATGAAACCCTCATTAGTCAAAGAGGCTGGTCAAATGCTGCACTGAGGTGGTTGTACCCAAGCTGAGCTCATGGGGAGTACTGGCAGCCCGCCTGGGACCAGGTCCTGAGGACACTTGCATCCTCTCTTCAAAGCAGGGCAGCACAGGGTTCAATCCCTGCTCTGCTCCTTCCTACTTGTGTGACCCTGGGCAAGTCTGCAAACTCTCTGTTGGGTATGTCTTCAGCTATAAAGCAAGGACAATAACAGTTCCTAGCTTCTGGAGAATTTGCAAGGCATTACAGTAAATACTGCATGAAGAGTGTTTAGCAAATGCTCAAACCCTGTTAGCAGTTATTACCCAGCTCTAATTATAAAGTCAACTCTTCCGCCTCTCACAGGAGAGGAAATGGAGGCTCAGAGCTCAGGCCCAGGGTCAGGGCCACACAAAGGATGCAGACTCAGTCTGAAGCTCAAGTGGTCCAGGCCCCCTCCCCTGACTCCCAGGCTCTCTTCTCAGAAAGGGGCCAGAGCCCCCTGCCGGACCCGCAGGGACCCTCACAAGAGCCTTGCTTACCTGAGTGGGCTGGGGTCTTGTCCAGGACGATGGAGGACCCCAAGTCGACTGTAACCCCGCCCACATCAATGTGGCCCCTCCCCACTTGACCAGTAGCCGGCTGGCTACCAACGCGGTCAGAAGGGGAGTGTCCCGACAGCTATGTAGCTCAACCTTGTCACCACACATACGAGAGACCAAGGACCCAAGGGGCAAGATCAACCCTGTCATGAGTGAGTCAGGGCAGCGCTAAGCCGGGAACCAGCTCTGCATCTGGGATCCATCCTGGTGTCTCTTTGGGAGGGAAGAAAATGGGGAGAAGGGAAAGGGACGTTACGCAGCCTACATATGAGTGTCTCCCTAATCCTAGGGTGTCTACGGTGGGACAGGTAGGTGGGGGCAGGGCCCGTCTCTCCCCTAGTGCCCCTCATGAGCCCGAAGAGGTGGGCTGATCAGACACTGACGTGGGCGCCCTCCCTGGCACTAAGTCACCACCGCTCCCAGAGGCTCATACCCGAGGAATAGGGCAGGAAGTTGTGGTGGTCGTGGATGTGCCAGGTGACACTGTGAGCATGCGAGTACGGAAGTAGTCGCCCAGTGTGGCGACCTCCATTGCGACGCCGCGCTGGGATATGTGATTGTTGAAACAGTCCCGCAGAGGGTCCATGATGGCGACCTGCACCAGGAGTGGAAAAACTGCGCGTCACATTCCTGCGGGCTGGGGCGCAGGAGCAACGCCCTGTACTTTTGGGAGGAGAGCTTAGGCCAGGCGGGTGGGCTCGTCATCACCTCCCCGCCACCGCCCTCCACTGTCTATGGCGGCCAACCAAGTGCCTAAATCAGCTCAAATAGCTGAATCCTCTGGGTTTCTTTCTTTTTCTTTTTCCTGCCTCTTTCCCTTCCTTCCTTCCTTCCTGCCTCCCTTCCTCCCTTCCTGCCTCCCTCTCTCCCTTCTCTCTCTCTTCTTTTTAAAATCATGTTGTACTTTACATCTCAGCACTTGTTATCTTATAACTGAAAGTTTGTATATTTGACCACCTGCACCAAATTCCCCCAACCCCCCATCTCCCCACCTCTGACAACACAAATCTGATCTCTTTTTCCATCAGTTTGTTTTTTTTTGATTTCACATGTAAGTGAGATCATGCAATATTTGTCTTTCTCTGTCTGGCTTATTTCACTCCCTGGCCGTTTCTTAATGCCCATTGGTGTTACTATTTATCAATATCATTAATTATAATAATATGATAATTATTAATTACAATGATAATAGCCATGAGTCACATTTGCTGACCTTGAGCTCACCTTCAAAAAGGCAGTCAAAGTAAAAAAATTGATAAATTTCTAGAAACAATCTACCAAGATTGAATCATGAAGAAATAGAAAATCTGAACTGACTGACCACTAGTAAGGAGATTGAATCAGTGATCAACAGTCTCCCAAGAAACTAAAGTTCAGGACCAGACGGCTTCACTAGTGAATTCAAATGTTTAAAGAAGAATTAATACCGATCTTCAAACTCTGCCAAAAAGTAGGTCAGACAAAGAGACAGAGACAGAGACAAACATATAAAAACACAGAGAGAGAGAGAGACAGAGAGACACATACGGACAGAGAGAGAGAGACAGAGAGAGAGAGAGAGAGAGACAGAGACACAGAGAGACACACACACAGAGACACACACAGAGAAAGAGACAGAGACAGAGAGAAAGATAGAGACACAGAGAGACACAGACACACAGAGAGGTATATACATAGAGAAAGAAGTGGAAGGGAGGGAGAAACAGAGACAGAGAGACACACAGAGACACAGAGAGAAATAGAGGCAGAAAGACAGAGAGATGAAGAGGAAGGCTTTGCTTGAAGGAGACTGGGTGCTCATGGAACCCCAGGACCCTGGGGGCAAGAAACCAGGGCCCTCCGTCCAGGATTCCAGCATTAACATGCTCAGCATGATTCTCTCAGCACAATTCTGCAACACGAGCTGGGTGTCCTGCATTCAGTTCTGATACCATCTCCCAGAGTTATTGCACACCCCACAGGTTAAGGGCTGAGTCCCACAAGGCTACCCTCACATTAGTTGCCAGCCGCATAAGGGGTCCCCAGGCTACCCACACTTCTTCCTGGCCAACTACTAATTTGGGGTTCCCATGAACCCCTCTTTCTGTTTGATAATTCACTAGAACTATTCACAGATCTCAGGAAAAGAGTATTCACACTTACCTGATTATTATACTCAGGAACAGACAAATGGAAGAGATGCGTAGGGCAAGGTATGGGAGACAGGGCATGGAGCTTCCATGCCCTCTCTGGCATGACACCCTCCCAGCACCTCAATGTGTTCACCAACCTGATTGCTTTACGAATCTTGTTATTCAAGAGTTTTTATAACCCAATCTCCAGCCCCTGCCCCCTCCCCGCAGGTCAGAGGGTGGGGGCTGAAAGTTCCCACTCTTTGATCATTTGGTCTTTATGGTGACCAGCTCCCGTCCTGCAGCTATGTAGGGACACCTCATTGGCATAAGCTCAGATGTGATCAAAAGGGGCTCGTTAGGAGTAACAGAAGACACTCCTATCACTCAAGAAATTTCAAGGGTCTTAGGAGCTCTGTGCCAGGAACCAGGAACAAAGACCAAATATATTTTTATTATACCACAGCATCCAACAGCTGTCAGGTTCTCTTGATTCAAACCTCCAAAATCTTAGGATCCAAAGTCTGATTGGTCCAACTTGGGTCAGCTGTCAGTCTGCACTGATGGGCTATGCCAGGGAACGGGTTATGGGGCACATATGTGGTTTCTGAGATCCGCTTCTGTGGGTGGGTCACGAGGGTCCAGAGAAGAGGGGCCCGCATCTCTTGTACAGATCACTGGGAGGACATTACCTCTGTTCCAGCTCTGTGGATGAGGATGGGGGAGTGTCACAGGTTATGGGGCCTGTCCAGAGCTGGTGGGTGTCTTCTTTCATCTTAACTGCCCGCAGAACACCTGGTGCTTAAAATAACCCCACTAGGGCTTAGGGAGCTGGCTTTGCCTAGAGCTGCCGACATGGCCGCTTCCTCTTACCTGCCCAGATCAATGTTGTGAACTGGAACTGACCTAAGGTTAATTATTTTGATCTGCACATCTCGTAGGAGGTGGCTAGCACTGTCAAATTCTGTTTAGAAATTGATTCATGAATAAAATATGTACCCCATACTGGATGATGAGACTTTACACATAGTTGACTGGCTTATTGGTAAGGAAATAACATCGTTTGATTTTTCCCTGAAATTATTTGGTAATACAACCTAGAATTAGTTCCTATGATTAGCTGTAGAGATTGAATCCACCCAAGCCGCGTAATTGTTATTTCCACAACATCTGGTTATAAACCCTCCAAGGGAATGGGTTCCGGCTGCCATGAGGCTGGAGGCCAGGCTTGGGGCAGCTGGGCATCTGGGGGCCCTCGCTGGTTCTGAGTGGGGCTCAAACATCTGCTGGCTGGCCCTGCCAGGGCCCAACATTGTGGAACTTCTCTTAAAAAGGCGCAATAGCTCTAAAATAAAAAGGCTGTGGCCCAGGACAAAGTTAAGACAGACCTACCTGGTGTGGCCAGTGTTGCTAGCAGAAGTGCAGCCCTGCGGGGACTCAGGAGCCAAGGAAAGCCACAGTGAGATGTACTGGCCCTGCTGTGGTCCATGTGTTCCTGTAACGCTGACTAAACAAATCAGGTATTTGTATGTGCGCGCGCGTGTGTGTGTGTAAGCGTTCCTTTCCCCCAATTTGGAGCTCACCCGAAAGGATGCAATTGGTGTCATAGGAGAGATTTGTACGAAGACACTCCCATCCGACTGTGGTTTTACTTTGGAAATGGGTATTGGGAAAGAGAAAACTGTGACCAGGGTGGAGAATGAATCCTCTGTGGCATGAGGCTGTTGAGTCATTGTAAAAAGTTTTCTTCTTAGCTGGGGTCACACTAATGGAAATTAATTCACTTTTTCCCTAAGTCTCAACAATTGAGCCCAGCAGATAATTAAAAGGTGCTCACAAAAGAGTCACTAAAATTGTCCATACATTAGGTCACCATGAAAATGTCTGTAGATTGCAAAGAGCAGAAGCAGTACCGATGACATTCTTGAACACATTGTACCCAAACTAGAAGAAAACAAGGCATTTCCACCCAGAAATGGACAAGCTTGTCTCTAGAGTCAGAGGAGATAGAAAGAGAGATTGCAGAATTTCTAGAAAACAGTAATAACAAAACAGTACGTATATAAGAACTAATGGGATATTGCTTACAGCTGTGCTCACAGGAAAATTCATAGCTTTAAGGAGTTGCATTAATTACAAAAGGAAGAAAGAAATAATAATCCGTGCATTCTATTTGAAAAATTTACAGAGATAACAGCAGCACAGAAGGAAGCAGAAATAAGAAATAAAGATAAAATCAGAAATGAAAAGGTTGGAAAGTTTTACAATAGTAGAATCAATATATAAATGCAGAATGTGGTTGTTCAAAAACTAAAATAGATAATCCCAATAGCCGACCTAATTTTTTAAAAAAGCAAGATGTCACAAATATGGAAAAGAAGAAATGACAGAAGGGAAACCACCATAGAAATAAAAGGAATTACAGGAATTACAAGAGATCAGAAGCTACTAGAAATAAGCAAAACCCTGCCTTGCACCCTGGTCAGCATTCTGGGGCCTGGAAAAGCTGTACTGGTGGGTTCTGCATGACCACACCTCACCTCCACCACGTTTCTGAATTATTGGCTGAGTAAGTGAGAGCAGTCACTTCTCAGCAATCTGTAGCCAACCAGAAAGAATGCAACAATCTAATTTATTTCCTATTTTTAAACTCGTTGCTTAAAGCAGTTCAAATAATTATTTTGTTTTTAAATGGGAATATAATTTATATACAGCAAAATACCCAGAGCTTAATGTACTGTGTGATGAGTTTTGACAAGCATATACAATGTTGACATCACTACCATCAACATTTTGAACCCTCACCTCCAAAAGATGTGTGACTTTTCTTTTGTTGTTTTTTGTGGCTTCCTGAGTACCAGCAAGTCTCTGAAGGATCAGGACAGTCCCCATCGGCTCCTGAAATATAAAGGGACCAGAGGACCAGAGCATGGCTTCATTATCAACACTGGCCTTGGAAATGAGAGCACTCGTGTGTTTACATGAGGTTAGTGTACAATGTCCCCTGATGGCTCTGTCCTTCTCCCTGAGTGGATCAGATCACTCAGTTGTGTGTAAAATTGTCCTGACCTCAGTCCATTTGCAGGAAATTCTGATTCCAATGAAATACAGTGGAATGCGAAATTATTCTGATAACGAAAATGCAGCAAGTCCTTTTTCAGCTATTTCATCAGAATGTCCATCTAACAGGAACCCTCAGACATTCAGCAAGGCTGGTAGTTATGCCTTAAGCCTGCAAAACTCAGGCGGACAGCTTCTGCTCCTGAAAATTGTAAGATAAGTTTACATTAATTTTGATAATGTCACTTTAGTTTTGAACTTTAAGTAAAGAATGGCATATCTAGGAATATTTGCATAGTTTATTAGTTAAGTCTAGATTTCTGAAGATGATTGGTATTTAGATTAAATGTTACACTGAACATTTTATTACGCTATTCAAATGTAATTTAGAACCATTTGCCTAAGTGCATGGAAGGATATGTTTTAAGATCATTTTTCTTTTTATTTATTTATTTATTTATCGAGGTAACATTAGTTTATAACATTATATAGATTTCAAATTTCATTATAATTTGACTTCTGTATCCACTATATTATATTCACCATCCAAAGTCTCATTTCCATCCGTCAGTGTACAAATGACCCCTTCACCCTTTTCACCCTCCCCCTACGCCTCTTCCCCTCTGATAACCACCCATCTGTTCTCTGTATCTATATGTTTGTCTGTTTGTTTTTATCTTCCACATATGAGTGAAATTGTATGGTGTCTGTCTTTCTCTGCCTGATTTATTTCACTTAGCATAATACTCTCAAAGTCCATCCCTGTTGTCACAAATGGCAAGATTCCATCTCTTTTTTGGCTGAGTAGTATTGCATTATATATATATATATCTCACTTCTTCTTTATCTGTTCTTCCCTTGATGGGCAGTTAGGTTGTGTTCATGTCTTGGCTATTGTGAATAATGCTGCAGTGAACATAGGGTCCATATATCTTTTTGAATTAGTGTTTTCATATTCTTTGGATAAATACTCAGAGGCGCATGGCTGGATCATATGCTAGCTCTATTCCTAATGTTTTAAGGGATCTTCATACCGTTTTCCACAGAGGTTCCATCAATTTACATTCCCACCAGCAGTGTACAAGGATTCCCTTTTCTCCACGTCCTCCCCAACACTTGTTATTTCTTGTCTTTTTTGGTAAAAGCTATTCTGACAGGCTTGAGGTGACATCTCATTGTGATTTTGATTTGCATTTCCCTAATAATTAGTAATGTTGAATATCTTTTTATGTGCCTATTGGCCATCTATACATATTCTTTTGAATCTTGTCAAATGCTTTCTCTGCATCTGTTGAGATGATTATATGATTTTTATTCTTCATTTTGTTAATGTGGTATATCACACTGATTGATTTGCAGATATTGAACCAGCCTTACATCCCCGGAATAAGTCCTACTTGATCATGGTGTATGATTCTTTTAATGTATTGTTGTACTCGGTTTCTTAATATTTTGTTGAGGATTTTTGCATCTATGTTCATCAGTGATATTGGCCTTTTTCCTTTTTGTGTTGTCCTCATCTAGTTTTGGTATCAGGATAATGTTGGCCTCATAAGAGTTTGAGAAAGGTATTAAACCTTCTTTGAATGTTTGGTAGAATTCACTAGATAAGCTGTCTGGTCCTGGGCTTTTGTTTGGGATGTTTTTGATTACCCTTTCAATCTCCCTACTAGTGATTGTTCTGTTCAGATTCCCCATTTCTTCTTGATTCAATTTTGGAAAGTTGTATGATTCTAAGAATTTATCCATTTTTTCTAGGTTATCCAATTTGTTGGCATATAGTTTCTCATAGTAGTTTTTAAATAATCTTTTGTATTTCTGTGGTATCCATTGTAATTTCTCCTCATATATTTCTGATTTTATTTGTTTAAGCCTTCTCTCTTTTTTTCTTAGTGAGTCTCACCGAGGGGTTGTCAATTTTGTTTATCTTTTCAAAGAACCAGCTCTTAGTTTCATTGATTATTTTTGTTGTCTTTTTAGTCTCTATTTCATTTATTTCCACTTTGATTTTTATTATTTCCTTCCTTCTACTGACGTTGGGCTTCTTTTTTTCTTTTTCTAGTTCCTTTAGGTGTAAAGCTGGATTGAGGTTTTTCTTGTTTCTTGAAGTAGGCCTGTATTGCTATAAACTCCCCCTCAGTATCACTGTTGCTGTATCCCATAGATTTTGGTATGTTGTATTTTCATTTTCATTTGTCTCCAGGTATTTTTTTACTTCTCTTTTGATTTCTTCATTGATCCAATAGTTGTTCAGTAGCATATTGTTTAGTCTCCACATATTTGTGATTTTTTTCAACTTTCTTCTTGTAGTTGATTTCTAGTTTCCTACTATTGTGGTCAGAAAAGATGCTTGACATGATTTTGATCTTCTTAAATTTATTGAGACTTGTTTTGTTTCCCAATGGATGTTTTATCCTTGAGAATGAGAAAAATGTGTATTCTGCTGCTTTTGGATGGATTCTGAGCTCTGCCTCTCCTGTTCCCTTGTTTAGCTTCCTTTGTGTGCTCCATTCTACCCACCTTTGATATGCCAATGTGTGGATTTCTCTGGCGTCCTGGTGTGTTGGGTAATGTAGCCTTTGTTGGGTTATGGATGCTTTACTTGCTGTAAATTGAAGGGGAGAGACAAAGGTATCCTTTCATGATGCCACAATGATGACATCCCTGTCTTTGACTTGTGATAATTTGGTTATAATGTGTCTTGGTGAAGATCTCTTGATGTTCAGCCTATTTGGGATTCTTTTGGCTTCCTGGATCTGAATGTCCATTTCTTTCCCCAGATTTGGGAAGTTTTTGGCTATTATTTCTTTGAGTAAATGTACTGTTCCTTTCTCTCTTTCTCCTCCTTCTGGCACTCCTATAATACACATGTTATTCCACCTGATGGTGTCTCATAAGTCCATTAAGCTTTTTTCATTCTTTTCTTTCTTTTTTCTTTTTTCTCCTCTCTGTCTTTAAGTTCACTGAATCTTTCTTCTGCTTGATCTAGTTTGTTATCGAATCTCTCTATTAAATTTTTCAGTTCAGTTATTGTATTATTCAGCTACAAAGTTTCTGTTTGGTTCTTTGTATATTTTATATCTCTTCATTGAAATTCTCTCTTTTCCATGCATTTTTTTCCTGAGCGTGTTGATCATCTATATGATGGTTACTTTGAGTTCTCTCTCAGGTAATTCATATGACTCCATTTTATTAGGGTTGGTTTCTTGAGCTTTATCTTATTACTTTGTTTGGGTCATGTTTCCCTGTTTCTTCATTTTCCTTGACTCTATGTGTTGGTATCTGAGCATTAGAAAAAGCAGCCTTGGGGCTGGCCCGGTGGTGCAGCGGTTAAGTTCGCACATTCCACTTCAGTGGCCTGGAGTTCGCTGGTTCGGATCCCAGGTGTGGACATGGCACTGCTTGGCAAGCCATGCTGTGGCAGGCATCCCACATATAAAGTAGAGGAAGATGGGCATGGTTGTTAGCTCAAGGCCAGTGTTCCTCAGCAAAAAGAGGAGGATTGGCAGCAGATGTTAGCTCAGGGCTAATCTTCCTCAAAAAAAAAAAAAAAAAAGAAAAGAAAAAGGAAAAGAAAAAGCAGCCTTCTCTCCCACGAGGTCTGGCCTCGTATAGGAGAAGACCCTCATTAATCAGCCTAGTCAGAGATTCTTGGGGGCCTCTCAAATCTTTTCTGTATCTGCATGTTTTATGACGTGTGTGTAAATTCCCAATTAGAGGGATTTGCTAGTTTCTTTTTTTTTGAAGTTCATAATCTCTTGCTCCTTCTGGTGTTTGTCTGCTGTACAATGGGTCTTCTGGAGCACTGGCAGGCTCCATGCTCTTTTTTTGTTCTCAGCAGCACCCAGACATCTAATGTGTGCTGGATACTGTTTGCCCTCCAAGGCTGGAAAGATTGAAGACAGTCCTTTGGGCAGCCTCCTGAAAAGTGTGAACATTGAATGTATGTCCCATTCTTTTCTTTCTTGCCCCAGGAATAAGCCAGAGGCTGGGAGTCTTTCTGATCATACTGCATTGAGCAAGTGGGAGGAGTTCTGGTGAGTGACTGCATTTGTTTAACTGTGTGAATAGTACCAACTTTACCACCTCTCCATTCTTCTCACAATTTTTGAGTAACAAAAGGAATCTCAATTGTTTTAGAAGTTGATATATATAGCACTGGAAGGAAGGAGATACCATTACTTGTTCTAAGACACATGTTCTTAATCTTTGTTTTCTTTCCATCTAGAATTCCTCCCTGATATCATATATTCTTCATAGAATGTATTATATAAGGATTTTGGTGGACTAGGTTGCAGCTACTTTTGTTTGATGAAAAGCTTCAAAAGTCTCTTCCTGATATTTTCATTTAATTTCAGCAGTCTCTGTAAACGTCTCCATTGCTGCTGAAACTTCCACAATGGCACTTGCTAACATAGGCTGTCTGGGTGGATTTCTTTATGTGGCTTCTGGATCGTCTAGGTTTCTCCATTTCACAGTAGACTATGTCTGTTGAAGCAGGAGAAGGCATGAAAAATGCCCTGTGTTCTCCTTGCTTTCTACTTCCATTTGGTTTTCCATAGCAAGTAGACAGAAAGTAGAGGGACCAAATGGTGTGCGCTTCTTGGCTACCACCTTGACTGACTTTTTCCTTTAGTGTGCTATCTGTCCAACTTCTTCTTTAGTAGGAGTTATACTGCAAAGATTAAAAAAATGCAACCTTTGGCCATGCACCTATTTGGGGTAGCCATAGTCAGTGAATTTACCTCTCCTTTGGAGAATTTCCTAAGAAATGGAAAATGACCTTACAGTGAGTATTCTTTTGGGAATAAGTATAAACTGGATAATTTTGAGGGTGTTTCAGGGGATATTGGGAATATTTTATTGAGGGTCAAGATTCAGGCCTGCCTTGCAGGTTTACTTATCTCTTCCCTTCTTTCCTCCATATTGATTTATTACAAACATTTGTTAATCTAAGACTATCCCAGGCACAATGTTAAATATTGCACATGTTTTTAATCTCACACCAACTTTTTGAAGTAGTAAATTTTGAAGAAGAAATGGATGTACAGAGATAGTATGTATCTGTTTTGGATACATGGTGTATATGACCAAGACCTGTTTTGTATTCAAGCAATCTAAGTTCTGAGGAGGCTTTTTACCAACATTGCTTTATATCATTTCAGTGTCTAGTTGTGGTTTGGCACATGATCCAGTATTGAACTGCCTGTGGCTGAAAATTTGGCCGCCTTCTTTTTTCACAGGAAGACTGTCTTATCTGGTTGCGTGTTTTTGGAACACTATTTAATAAATCTTGGGATCCTTATCATTCTAAAACTTTTAGCTCATCATAGGTTCCCATTCTGCGTTGTATAGACCATGTTGTCTTGGAGTGGAGCTGATCTTCTCACAGGTACCAGGCTGTAGGAGTTCTAACCCCAGATCACTTTGACTCCTATGACTTCACGGGCATTTGGAACTCTTGTTCCCCTGGCAGATAGTAAATAGGGAAGCTATGTTCTGTAAACGTCTATGGAACTCTGTCAGCAATATCCTTCTTTTCTTGTGTGTATTGCAGGTTTATTTGCATGAATTGCTTTACTACTGGAGGATATTTGGTGAAGTTGCTGAGCTGGAATCAGTCATATGAACACATTGGCCTTTCTGCCTTTGGCTCTGCTGGGCTTGAATGTCCCTGCATTTTATCTCACCTGATTGCCTACCTTCTCTTCTTCTCTACGATTCCCAGGAAGTTTATCTGAATTCAAATAAAGCCGCATCAAAATTAGAGTTTGTTTCTTCTTATAAAACTACCCAGGTGGGAATGGAGAAATCTCAGGCAACAACCAGAGTTAGGATTACATTTTGGAAACTTAAAGTAACAAATATGGAGCCTATGCATTAAATAATATAACCTAAGATATAAAATGTGTGCTGAAAGTGCAAAAGACATTAGGAAGCTAGGCTACAGGTGGTTTCATTCTGGCAGAAATTACATTTTCCTTTCTGGCTGCTTAATTATTTAATCAATTCAACAAAACTAAGTTGGCCAATTACTCTTTTTCTTAAAGACAAATCATCAGGAAGTAAAAGAATGCTGGTGATCCAGTGGAATCACATTTTCAGCTTGATGTTGGGCAAGTAGAGTAATATTTATTACTGAGAGGCAGAGACCTCATGTACAGAATGGCTTTAGCTGGGTATCCAGATTTGGGATTAATTATATTAAATAAACCCAGAATCTATAGATTTATGAGCAAAGATTTCTGGTTTGTCAATTTTATTTATCTTCTCAAAAAACCAGCTCTTTGTCTCATTGATCCTTTCTACTGCCTTTTTCGTTTCAATAGTATTTATTTCTGCTCTGATTTTTATTATTTCTCTCCTTCTGCTGACTCTGGGCTTCATTTGTTCTTTTTTCTCTAGTTCAGTTAGGTGTGCTTTAAGGTTGCTTATTTGGGATTTTTCTTGTCTGTTAAGATGTGCCTGTATTGCGATGAATTTTCCTCTTAATACAGCTTTTGCTGTATCCCATATGAGTTGGTATGGCATGCTATCATTTTCATTTGTTTCCAGGTATTTTTTTATTTCTTCTTTAATTTCTTCAATGATCCATTGCTTGTTCAGTAGTGTGTTGTTTAGTCTCCACATCTTTGTGCCTTTCTCAGCTTTTTTCTTGTAATTAATTTCTAGCCTTATAGCACTATGATCTGAGAAGATGCTTGTTATTATTTCAATTTTTTTAAATTTGTAGAGGCTTGCCTTGTTTCCCAACATATGGTCTATCCTAGAGAATGTTCCATGTGCACTTGAGAAGAATGTGTATTCAGCTCCTTCAGGGTGGAGTGATCTATATATGTCTATTAAGTCCAATTGTTTTTCATTCAGCTCCACTATTTCCTTGTTGATTTTCTGTCTGGATGATCTGTCCATTGATGTGAGTGGGGTATTGAGGTCCCCTACTATTATTGTGTTGTTGTTAACATCTTCCTTCAGGCCTGTTAATAGTTGCTTTATGAATCTTGGTGCTCCTGTGTTGGGTGCATAGATATTTATAAGCGTTATTTCTTCTTGATGAAGTGTCCCTTTGATCATTATATATTGTCCCTCTGTGTCTCTCTTTACCTGTCTTATTTTGAAATCCACTTGGTCTGATATGAGAATTGCAACACCTGCCTTTTTTTCCTTGCTATTTGCTTGAAGTATTGTCCTCCACCCCTTCACCCTGAGTCTGTGTTTGTCCTTGGGGCTGAGGTGTGTTTCCTGGAGGCAACAAATTGTTGGATCTTGTTCTTTAATCCATTTTGCCACTCTGTGTCTTTTTATTGGAGAGTTCAATCCGTTCACATTGAGAGTGATTATTGATGCATGTGGACTTAATGCTGTCAATCTGTCGCTCATTATCTTGTTTTCCTGTGTTTCTTTTCCTGTGAGCTTTAGACTACCCATTTAATACTGCAATTTCTTATGCTGGGTTTCTTAGATTTTTCCTTATCTATGATTTGTGACTCTGTTCTGTACTTTATTTTAGTGTCTACCTTGAAGTTTGTATTTAGAATCTCGTGTATAATATAATCTATTCTCTGGTGGTCTCTTACTTACTCGACCAATACTGATTTAGACCCTTTGCTCTTCCTCTTCTAAATAATTATTTTCATTTTTTATTCCAACTCGTCTTATTAATTTGTAGTTAGAGTGCTAAGATCGTCCTTGTTTTGGTAGTTTCCTTATTTTTACCCTAATGCTATAGTTGAATATTTGCTATCCTGTTCTGGTTCTATCCATCGGTCTCCCTAGTCTGTGGCTTGTGTCCCCTTTCTCCCTTTTTTCTTTTTTCAAGTATGAGAGCCTTCTTGAGGATTTCTTGTAATGGAGGGCTGTTAGTTACAAATTCCCTTAACTTTTGTTTGTCTGGAAAAGATTTAATTTCTCCCTCATATCTGAAGGAAATTCTTGCTGGATAGAGTATTCTTGGCTGAAGGTTTTTATCCTTTAAAGCTTTGAATATATCACTCCATTCTCTCCTAGCTTGTAGGGTTTTCTGTAGAGAAAAGCCGCTGACAATCTGATAAGGGGCTCCTTTATAGGGTATTCTCTTTTTTTTTTTCTTACTTCCCCTGAGTAATCTTTTCGTAATCATTCCTATTTGCCAACTTTTACTATTATGTGCCTGTGCGGTGGGTCTTTTTACATTGACAAATCTAGGAGATCTAAAACCCTCCTCTACACACATTTCTCCGTTGATCCCTAGATTTGGGAAATTCTCTTCAATAATTTCATTAAGCACACTTTCTGCTCCATTTTCCTTTTCCATATTCTCGGAATTCCTATGATCCTTATGTTCTTACTCCTCATTGAATCCATTATCTCTGGAGATTTTCCTCATTTTTTTAAATTCTTAGTTCTCTTTCTTCCTCTGTCTGGCGCCATTCAGCCTGTCTGTCCTCGATTATGCTGATTTGCTCCTCTAGGTTGTCTACACGGGCATTCAGGGAATCCGTATTCTGTTTTATCTGGTCCATTGTGTTTTTCATCTCAAGTAATTCTGTTTGATCCTCTTTATGATTTCAATCTCTTTTGTGAAGTAACTCCAGAACTCGGCTTGTTTCTCTATCTTTCTCTCTACCTCATTGAGTTTTTTGATTATAGCTGCTCTGAATTCATTATCACTTAGTTTACCTAATTCCAAGTCCCCAGGACTTAATTCTGTGTTTTTATTGTTTTCCTTCTGGTCTGGGGCTTTTATAAATTGCTGGATGGTAGAGGAGCGGTTTTTTCTCATGGTGGTAGAATTCAGTTGCAGTTACAGCCTGTCGCCACTAGATGGGGGTCGAGAGCGGCGTGTTAGCTCTCCGCCTTGGGGCAAGATGGCTGCGCCCACTGGCTTTGCTGCGGGGGAGGGGCTGTTACTCACACACGCCAGTCTGGGTTCAGATCAGTTCTGTTCTCTGGTCTCCCAAGGCCCTTGATTTATAGGGTCCCTGCGGACGGAAGCTTCCCCCCGTCAGCGGGTCTCCACTGAATCAGCGGCAGGAGTCCTGGATGATCCCCCCGTCGCGTGGCCCCTCCCCCGCTCCCTCCCGACCCGCGCCGCAGCGATCCAGACTCTAGGGGAGGGAGCGATGTCCTCTCCTACCGTTCCAGCGCCTCCGAAGGGGTAAAGCTAGGTTTATGATCTCCGCCTTCTTGGTATTGTAGGTCTCTAACAAGCTGGCATTATGTTTATTCTCTGAAATTCAGTTCTTCCAATCTTTTGTTGTATTTTGGAGGGGAGAGAATCCCGGGTCAGCTCACCCCGCCATTTTGCTCCGCCCCTCTTCAAAGATTTCTGGAAATGGCTACATAAGTTATACATTTTATTTAATCATTTCACACATAAAATTTCATTTTAATCTTATACCAAATTTAGGAAGTAGTAAATTTTTAAAATGAGAAAATGCAAGTATAAAGACAGTGACTAAATGCACATATGGGAGTAAAGGTGCTAAGGTCTAAATGTTTGTGTCCCCACCCCCCCGCAAATTCGTATGTTGAACATAAACCCCAAGGTGAGGGTTGATTTTAGGAGGTGGGGCTTTTGGAGGTGATTAGGCCATGAAGGCAGAGCCCTCATGAATGGAATCAGTGCTTTTATAAAAGAGACCCCAGAGAGATCCCTCACAGCTTCCGCCATATGAGGACACAGCAAGAAGTCAGAAGTCTGCAACCCAGAAGAGGGTCTGCCCCAGAACCTGATCATACCGACATCCTGGTCTTGGACTTCCAGGCTCCAGAACCATGAGAAATAAATGTTTGTTCATAAGCTACCCAGTCTGTGGCATTTTGTTATGGCAGCCTGAATGGACTAAGATAAAAGGCAAAAGACTGTATTTGAATTAAAGCGATCTATATCTATGAAGAAATTTGCCAGTGTTGTTTTATACAATTTTAGTGTTTGAATGTATCTTGACATCTTTATCAAGAATTTATATTGGACAGACTAAGGTTGAAAAATTGATTCTCTTCCTTTTTTCAGAGGAAGGCTGTCTTACCTTGTTGCATATTTCAGGAAAACTTAATATATCCCGGGATCCTTCCCATTTTAAGTTCCATCTTAGGCTTCCATCCAGAGTTGTGTAGACCAAATCCTTTGGACAGGAGTTGATCTGCAGATGGTACTTAACTCCAGGAACTTGACCCCCAGATCCTTTTGCCATCTCTGAGCTCAGCTGCGTTGGAAACTTGTTGCTCCCACCGCATATCAAATAGGGAAGCCACATTCTGCAATCTGGTATGGAACTCTGCAAACATTATCATTTTTTTTCTTATATATTTATTGGGATGGAGAGACCAAATACTCATTTATATTTGGACATGTAATTGACCTTGAATCATTCAGAGGCACAGACTGGCCCTCATGCCTTTGGTCCTGCTTGACTGCCACGGGCCCTACTTCAACCCATGGATTGCCTCCGTTTCCCCTTATGTTTCCTATTGCCAACAGTTTATCTGCTTTTACATAAAGAACAATAACTAGCAACATGAAAGTTGGAGTTTGTTTTTTTCCTTATAAAGCTCCACATATATAGGCCTGGAGAAAAACCAGATTTAAGGCTGCACTTTGGAAACTTACAATAATAAACATGGAATCTATGTTTATTCCATGTACATGTATATGAATCCCAAATGATCGAATTTTGGATATAAAATGATGAAATGAGTGCTAAGGATATAGAAGACCTGGTCCACAGGCTATAGATTTGATTCTCCGACAAATTTTTTTCTGACTGCTCT